AAAATAGTAATATATTCTATAAGTTGTAGAATTTCTTAAGATTTATCTCTACCATTGGATGAGGCATCCTAGGCCCTTCTCTTCAAGGAAGTGGAAAATATTCTATGCCAGTAGTTGTCAGTAAAAAAGGATATCTGTCGCTAAAGTTTATTTCATATGAATATTAATATTCCTTATATGGCCATCATTTTCAGTGTTTTATTTTCCAAATGCACTTTCTAAAAACATGTAAAATTATGGTCCATTACTAACCACTAATGGATAATTTTATGACTGAATTCTGCACCAAAAATGATTATTTGCTATGTGAGGACAGATTTGCAAAACAAGATGTGGTAGCATTTAAATGGCCACTTATTTTTAGTAGAAGACTGCCCTGACTGTGGCCTAAAACTTAGATTTCCATTTCATGGCATCATTATCTTCAGACTCAGATGGGCGTCTCTTGCACTTAAGGAGCATGAGGAAACCAATTTGATTAAAATAAGCTGTTTCGTATCGTTAGGAAATTTGGAGATGGAAAAATCATGATTTCTGTAATAAATGTATGATCTGAAGCCACATTCATCCTCCGAGGTAATTAGCAATTCTGTATTTTCAGGAACCAGGAAGGCAACAGATTTTTCCAAGGGAGGCTCTTTTTGTAGAAAATTGTGGGTATAGTACTTGATGGTCAAACTGAACAAAGTAAACTGTTTGATTTATGGTATGAATATTATAAGAATTATTCTGTAGTTAATTTGTTCCCATCAATTCATGAAATCAATCTTTTAAGCATATTTTGCAATCAAAATTTCTAAAAGAAACCTAAGGATCTTATAATAACATCCCACTTCTTTCTACATTATTTTCATGCAATATACTGCATATCTAGATCCATTAAAGCAATTTTAAAAATTTCTTCTATTGATATCGCTACAATCTATTTCAAACATTGGTACCTGAAGATAATTATGAAGTCAGCAATGATTCAGTGAAACAGAATTTAAATAGTGCTGAAAGCATAAATAGTACCCAAGGAGATTTGGATCTTTTTTAAAAAAATTTAAGATCTAGGATTTACCTATACTTAAATAAACTTCAAGTATTTATTTTTTAACTAATCTCCACTCAAAGCGCCTTCAAATACTGTTTCCACATTGTTTAAAGTGTAAATGAATAGGATAATGAAAATAACTATTAAATAAAATAGACGTTAAGTGACCTGCCTGCAGCCACAGAGTTAGCTCACAGCTATGCCAAGAATCAGATTTAGATTTTCTGGTTTGCCCATGTTCTTTTCACTGCTTTTGTTAAAGAAGTCAAGGTCTTAAGATAACTGACTTCAATACATAGTTCAGTATCTTTGTTTGTCAGCAGAAAATACACTTCATGCCATTGTGGTGTTTAGATAAAATATACAAAATATAAATGCTAATGAGATGCCCAGTATGTGACAATGAACCGCAAAAAGCAATATAATGCGACAAATATTTATTAAAAAGCTAATTCTGTCAATATAAATATTTCTGAGGAGAGTATTCTTTTCACCTTCAGAAAGCCATGTAATACCAGTAATTAATGAGCGGCGAAGACAGTCAATGGTAAATAGTTTCAGATTTTTAAAAACTAATTTAGTAATTGGCAATATATTCGGGAACATTATTAAGTTGGTTTTTTTTGCATCACAAAGATTGAGTTCTGCTATTTCTGTTGACAGAACATGTGCTAAATGATAACACTGATAAATAAGGGTAAGTTAGGTAATTTTTAGAAGTGTGGTTCTAGGAAGAAAACTTCCTAAATGATGGAAGAAAAAAATAAATTAGATATTTTTCTGTACAATTTAGAAACAGATGAACCGTAAATTACAAAGTATTACTTCGTGATCTCTAGAACAAGGCTATGACATGAGGAATTTAAGAAGCTACCCTTACATACATTGTATCAGGCTCTTACCCCTCCCTCCAGGACCTTGTGCTGCCTGTTCTATTGCCTGAAATATTTATCTGACCCAAAGAAGATTGGGTCTTAGATGTCAGGTTCTCCAAGAATCCTCCCCAGACTGCTGGTGTCCGTGGGAAGGATGGTCCAGTGTGCCCCTTAGAGTCTGTACTTTGTCAGCCTTTGTCACACACAATATAATCAACACATTGAATGCAATGGCCTGTTTATTTTGCTGGAGAGTCAACTTCCCAAGAATAGGAACTGGGTGTCCAATGGTCTAGCTGTGTTTCACCCATAGTAAGTAATCAACTCTGATTGAATGAAGGGATACTCAAGTTATCTAGCCCTTGTGCAAGTCCCTATAGCTTAGAGTCACAGGCTGTCTTTTGAAGCTCTTTACTACACTTTATTTCACTCAGATGACGGACAAGGAAACTGAGACTCAGGCAGGCTAAGAGGTCACACACCATAAATGACAGAGTGAGGAAATCGAGCCCATTCTCCTTCCTCGCTTATTCTTTCATTCAACAGATTTATGCTGAGCATCCTCTAGGTGTCAGACATTATGTCAAAGCTGAGAATCCAAAGATAAATAGGTTAAGATTTCCTGAAGCTCCCTGCCTAGTCAGAGATAGACTGTAAACAGTAATTATAATTCAATATGATAAGGGCTTTGACAGAACCATGTACTCTGTGCTGTGGAATTTCTAAAGAAGGAATCAATGTCTGTGCATATTAAATCACTCCATTTTATTTTAATATTCTTTTAATACTCTTTTATGTCTGACTGTTTAGTATATAACTACCATCATTTAGAAGAAGGTAGGCAAAGGCCTGTTCAAATTAATGAAAGTTTAAATATTGCAATATTATTTCTAAACTAATTAGTTTTCATGATTGTTCATATTGTACATTAATTTGAATATCAAACAGAAGTCTATATAAAGCCTAATCCACAATAGTTTTAAGTGTATTGCTTAGAAAAATTAGTATTGTCATTTATATATCTTGGAATCCAAAGAAGATTCTCAGAAGAGAATGATCATAAGCACATTACCAGAATAGATGAGCGAAGAACTGGGGTAGGAGTACAATATGGCATGAAGATGGCTTAGGGTGAATCAGGAACTAGCAACACCCTTAGAGAAAGCAGCTGTGTGCCTCAGTTTTGATCAGAAGTTCATCTGCTGTTTTTAAAAATCTTTTAAAGAATAACTGGTTGCCTGGATGAATAGATTTATTTTACTTCTCATAGTTTTTAAATTATTCTTCAGACAAAAGAAAAGAGCCATGGCAGATTATGGCATTTAATAATGGCAATTCAAAATATTTTATCAAGTGGATTTAAAAAAAGTAAATGTCAATAAACAACATAATTTTATTTGCATTTCTTAATAATCCCCAAGCCATTCAAACTGAGAGCAATGACAAACTCATAAAAAACAAGTCATTAACCTACCAGGAAATTCGAGGAGGGAATCTCGCTTTATCAATCTATGTATCTCCAGTGTTAAGCACGATGGCTTATCTCATACATGGTTGAAAGGCTTCAACCACAAAAAGAAGATCCCAATTGAAGACTTCATTTTTTTTTGTTTTTGTTTTTTTGAGATGGAGTCTCTGTCACCTGGGCTGGAGTGCAGTGGCATGATCTTGGCTCACTGTAACCTCCAGCTCCCAGGTTCATGGGATTCTCCTGCCTCAGACCCCCGAGTAGCTGGGATTACAGGCGCTGGGATTATAGGCAAGTGCCACCACGTCCAGCTAATTTTTGTGTTTTCAATAGAGACGGGGTTTGGCCATGCTGGCCAGACTGGTCTCTAACTCCTGACCTCAAGTGATCCCTCCGCCTCGGCCTCTCAAAGTGCCGGGATTATAGGCATGAACCAACATGCCCGGCCTAAGACTTCATTCTTTAAAAATAAGTAAACAAACCAAAAGTTGAATAGATATAAACCAAATAAGTATAAAAGAAAACTCTGCTTTAAAAGCCTAATTCCAAAAAACCTACGAGCCGCAAGTCATCAGTGATTAAAAGCTAGGAGGCACACTGGGTGTTTAAAAGTAGTACCTGTCCCCTTCTAAAGCAACCAAACCAGTGAAGATGGGTAGAAGCCAATAAGGGGGCATTCACCCCTTTCAGGCATCTAAGGAATGCACATTCAACACATTCCAAGCGCACCTCCCCCGCTGCAGGCTGCTCAGGCCATGGCCTTCCACCTCTAGCCACATTGCACAAACATCAGGAGGAAAACAAAAGAGAGGCCTTTCTGAATTTGTCACATTGCTTCACACTGGTGCCCCCTTCTCTTGTAATCAAGATAAAGAAAGTCGTGGCCGGGCGCGATGGCTCACGCCTGTAATCCCAGCACTTGGGAGGCCGAGGCGGTGGATCACCAGAGACCAGGAGTTCGGGACCAGCTTGACCAACATGGTGAAACCTTGTCTCTCCTAAAAATACAAAATTAACTGGGCGTGGTGGTGCACGCCTGTAATCCCAGCTACTCAGGAGGCTGAAGCAGGAGAATCGCATGAACCTGGGAGCTAGAGGTTGCAGTGAGCAGAGATCACACCACTGTACTCCTGCTTGGGCAGCAAGAGCAAAACTCCATCTCAAAAAACAAACAAACAAAATAAAATGTTACAAACCCATTGTGAAAAGGGGAAATGTGTGAACCCAAAAGTTCTGAAAAAGGAAGTGGATGGGGCAGCAGGAACAGGTGAAGTAGCCCATGTAGAAAAATTCCAGAATTTGCTAGATATTTTTTCTTCTTCTGGTCACTATTTAGAACTCTGTGCTTAAATTCTCAGTTCCAATGTATTGTGCATATATTGTCTCAGTTCAAGAATGGAGAAGAAGGTGTTTAACTCTAGATTAGACTACCCAACCTGTGGTTTAGTAGGGTGAACAGAGTTCATAAACAGAAAGCCCTGTCCTTACCAGTGTTCATCAACCATCTGCTTGCTGCGTCCAAATCAAGCCAGTCAGGAAACTCATCCCACCCTTGATAACCAGAAGCAGTAATTCAGCGAAGTGGACTAATTGTACTATGTCACTCGTTTTTACTATATAGATATCTGTGAAGATCTCTCCAGAACTTCATATATATGTAAGTGACTTGCTCCCAATTCTTTTACATTGTATCAGTATCAGCTGTGTTTTGCTAGGAGGCTGAGGCAGGAGAATGG